GCCATGAGAGCACTGTAAGGATCTCTAAGTTACCAAATCTTTGTGGGTAAAAAGCCACCATCACAGTGGGCTGGTGGTGGTGGCTGGGAACTAACCCTGAAGCCAACTCTCCAGAATGAACACATTCAGACCCAGAAGGTACTGGGCACAGAAAGACATGAGATTATTCATACTACTGTAAGGTATGCCCTAGGAAGCCTTACAGACCAACACCCTGGTTTACCCAAATACTCTTACATACTAATACTCTGATTTTTTCATTTCAGGAAAAAGTCATGTCCTGCATTTTGGGTGTTACACAAACAAGTAAGTATTGGAGAAAAATCCTGGAAGCAAGTGGAAATTCCTAACTGCTACCCACGCTGGGAGGAACAGGTTATATGCTTGCTCATTGGGCAGCTCTACAGACATACACAGTCCTGCAGAAAAGGCAAGGAAACTAGACTTGCTCTCATTAGGCTGAGAAACACTCTAAAAGACACTTCCACTCACAGCTCAAATTGTGTAACTTACTTCTCCAAATGGTTCAACTAGCCAACAGGACAACTTCTGCTCCAACTGCACCCACCTAATTATGAACTAAAATATCTCATATGTATCAGCATTCACCGTTTTACTCCAGATAGCAAACACACCACAAGTTAAGAGAACATAGATCATGGAGGAACACAAAAAATAGCACTGGTTATATTAAGACACCTAGTCTGTTATCAAGTCCTAAAGCAGTGTGTCACACATCTTTCTAGTATGCCCTAAAACAACACGAGCTTAAAAGAAAAATGCTACATCTAACAAAGGGGAACTGTCAGTTCATACACCAGCACTGGATAAGCAGATTGAAGTGGTCACACAGAAGAAGAAAAGTTGACATACACTAAGCATGGCTATGCACAACCAAGAGGAAAGACAAAAGGTTCAAGGGAAGCCTTGCCTATGTGTTTCAAACGTCCAGCTGGGACCCTTAAAATACTCTTTTTGGCAACACAAAGGAAAAGAAAAATATAAAAGGTCTATGAAGAAGAATTCTTAACGGTACATTAAAACTATGAACAGTAACTCTACATATCAGTGGCTTGAACAAGTTCAGACACTGGCCTGGGACAGTGAAGCTGAACATTGGCATTCATCTTATATAGCAGTCCATGTGAAAAACAGACTGGGTATCTGAACTCATGAGGAAGAATCACTTCCACTAACGGCTGACCACAAGACAATTCAAGTCTATTGTCACCATTGCAAAGAACTTCCTAACTAATCTTCAAAGTATTGCTGTTTGGAAAACATTCAACAATTACTTTAGTTTCTTTCCCCATTTAAGACAGTAGGGTAAATTTGCAGTGCCACAAGATTTTAAGTAGACAGCTTAAAAAGAAGAGACACCAAGTACATACTGATCACTGTACTACATGAAGATGAATTAGGGATTTCACTGGTTGTATTAAGCAGTTTCTCAGACAAAAGTGTAAGACCATAAGAATTTAGGACACATTTCCTTAAGTTTCCACATACTCTAGTGGCCATAAGACCACCAGCAAGCACAGAGACTTCAAGTTTTTCCCAAAACAAGACCAACTGTAGTAGAATAAATCACTCGTATATATTTGTTTGCTCACTATTTGCCAGATCTCACAGAGGGCACGTAGGCCCAGCCTATTCCATCAAATGACACCACAGATTATTATCCAAAACACAGAGTAAGGCATTTGCAAACATCCAAACACCTCTAAAAGCCTTACGTGGTCTGTTCAGACAGAAAGACACAATTAGCATTACTTTCTTTCTAATTCCTAGCACTTTTTTTGGGTCTCAGCAAGTACAGAAGGAAAAGAACAGAGAAGGGAACCAAGAGCACAAGTAGGCAACCTCTGGAGAAGCCGCAGAACATTTCACTGCTTTTACCAAACACAGGGCAGTCGGCTGCACCATCAAATCACTGGCAATAAATTACCAAAATTTTGTGAACTAAAAAAGGAGAGCTGCACTTGTTGGCAGCTAGACTAAAAAAAAAGAAAAAAAATATTACTTATAGATCTAATGCAAAAAAAAAGATAAAAATTCACTCTCAGAGGTAAGTGACCCATAAGAACTTCAAGTTGCAGTTCTAACTGGCTACAAACAAGACCTCCCAATAATTTCTAACTAGAACCAGACAGGATCCCTTTCTCTCTGCCATCAAGACATTCCCCAACAGACTTCAGGAACATTTACATTTTGGGTGAACACCCCATAAATTTACTTTGTGTTACATTAATATTTTTCTGAGTTGGAAATCATGCATCTTTAGCCCAAGCTGACCATTGACTCCCCAACGGCCATATTCCCACCTGTTGTGAGTACCTGATGAGCCAAAGACTACAGCCCCACAGATTTGTCTCTGCTTATTTCAGCATAAATCTGATAGCAGAAATTTCTACTAATGAGATTAAAGTGTTTTTGTAAAAATACAATATTCATTCTAGATAGCTAACCTGGGAGCACTCCCCAGACCAAAGCATGCCTATGAGACTTGAATGAAGTCTAGCCCTCCAGGAGAACTCACTAAGACCACCAGGACAAGCAAGTGAGGATCCCTGGTTTTTAGCTTCAATATCAGGAATCGGATACAGACTTTGAGGGAAGATGGATTACACTGCTCTGTTCCGCAACAGCTCACGTAGGGCTAAATTAGTATCACAGCATTTCCCTGGACTGCTCTGGATCAATAGGCACAGCTTATTCTTGCACAGCTCCACATATTGACATCTCTACAAACATCTGGTAAAGTTGGTTCTAGTCATTTGCTCCAAAACAGAGGCTATCACCACTCACACTACCAAATGGCAGGCAGGATGAGGAAGAAGCCAGAACCACTGCAGCCAGTGACCTCTCAGGGAAGCCAGTAACCTTCCTCTACCTACTGTCTGCAAAGCAGCAGTCCACCTCATGCTCTGGGAATTGTTTCAGCTTGTCACGTTTCTTGTATTCATTTTCAGATTCAGGCAGGATCCCAAATTTTTGGCCTTGGTTTTCAGTAACCACAAAGTCTGTAAAAGCCTGTTCTCAGCTGCCAGTGCTGCGAAAAGCGGCATGAAAAGTTTTGTGTACTTTTACAGAAAGACTGTCACAAAAGCCCTGGCCCACACAATTTTTAAGACAGACTTTGCCATAGTCACTGGGTCCATGTTAGCTGTACCTGTTAGTGCTTCTGGAAGGTTTCAAAAGACATTTTCCACTTCTGTGGCTGCTGGAGTGGTGCCAGCTGACCGCTTCCATACCCATGGGAAGCGGCTAAAACAATGCCAGTCTGAACTTGACTACATTGCAGGAGCTCTTAATAAGAAGATTCCTTCTGGAGGACTCTTCTGTTTCGAAACAGTTGGGTTTTACTATTAAGGACTATGCTGATTTCCCCTAGAATCCATGTTAGATATATTTCACTTTATGAAGGAATGTCTAAGCTTAATAGACCTCTGCTGATACTCATGACTAACATCTCAGTTACTGTAGCTTTCTGAAGAAAGATGGAAGTGGTTCAGTACATGGCAACTTAGAACAACAATATGGGCAAGGTAACTATAAAGGCAGGTGCAGATTTGGGGGAAAGGAAAAAAAAAAAAAAAGGAAGGGGAGAAAAAAAAATATAAAAAACAGACGCCGCAAGAAATTTCAAATTCTCTGAAGTGGTATGTTTCTCAGCAAAAGTAACAAACTATAACTTTTCTGAGCACAGATATCCTAAGTTCTGTGAAGACTATTCCTGAAGCTGGAATACCAAGTTAAACTCTTCAGCCTGGAAAAAAGCACCTGGAGATATGATAGAAAACTACAAACGCATCGATGGCAGATCAAGTCCATAGGGATCAGCTGCTCACTGCCTCTTCCAGTACTAGGGAGCACAGGCAAGGTAGATAGAGCTGGGCTCAAAGAAACTCAACAATAAATCAGTGCAATGGGTAATAGACCAGTGTAGCTATTTGCCAGGGGAGAATACTAATGACATTTGCATAAGCTCAAGGAGAAACTAGACAAGTATGTGGAAGAGAGATTCATTATAAGCTACCAATTAGACAAATCAAAATCCAAAATTCACGAAATACTCTGAAGCAAAAACAGTAAGAGGATGGAAAAGAGGAGTAATCAAACACACACTTTTCTTCTTAATCTTCACTAGTCATCTACTTACTGCAACTGTAGAAGGATGCTGGGCTAGATGAGCCTTTGATCTGAACCAGCACAGCCATTCTCTCATATTCAAGTCAGGAGACATGGAATCACCTCTTCTCCTTCCATTGGAAGAGATAACCTTCTCTCCCCTAGAAGGAGAGAGATTGCCCCTCTGCAAGTGTAGATGTTCATTTCAGTCGAAACGAGGCAGATAAACAATGCTCACTTTACTTTCATTGTGTCTCCACTTTGGAAGTCTGTCCTTGCAACCCTGCTCAACTTTCCAGAGTTAACAAACACATCTTAAAAGCTTATTAATTTTCACCTTAAGAGCTGTTCTGTGAGTTTTCATCTCTACAGCTTCCACTGGATTTTTTTTCAGAACCAGACTGCTCCTATAGTTAGGAACCTTCTCATTTCCATCTTGATCACAGCCAGCTTTTACCCATCTGGTTTTGTGCAAACAATTGTATGGTTTTGAGCTAGGCTGCAAGCTGACACGTTCACAATAATGGATCAATGGTCTACTACAATGAAGGAAAGCAAAAGGGCAGATCTGCATCACAAAACACCTATTTAATTTTGCACCTAAATTTCCAAGTTACTCCAAATCCCAGAGAACAGAGTCAAAACATACACACACATGCTTCAGATTCTGTATTAGCCTGTTAATGTCAAGTGAAAATGCAAAGGGATTTTTCTTAAACCTGGGAGCACTTCAGATGCCTGAGACTGGAAAGAATATAAAAAATAAACACAGACCTGTAAATAACTTTATAGGTATATTGCATACAATTATGCTAGTAATAGGCTTAAAAATAATAAATTAAGATAGTAATAAAGTATAAAAAACTTACTTCCCAATGTTTTCAGGTAGTGCTTGCAGAGAGATGTCATTTACTGAAAGACACGTTAGATTCTGTAATTCAGGAAAGCTTTCAGGCAACCTATGGAGATATTAATTCAAATCAAGGACTTCCAACAGAAGTATTCACATTCATATAATACATACTGGAAAAGAGAATACGTAGTGGAAAACAAGAGTCTATTTAGCAAACACACACAGAGAGGCATGCCCAGACTCCAGCATAACTCTCAGAATATTCTAAGGATCATAGTAAGAAAAAAACAAACAAACAAACCATGGCTTAGAGATTTTACAGTTTGTTCCGTGCAAAAGACGGGTAATAACCCTGCCTCCTAGCCGCTCTCCTCCCTATCCCCAATCTGCAACTTTAGAGAGCTGTAGGGCTTGAGAACATTTTAAGCATTTTAACAAGTTTTTAAAAATCAAACATATTAAATAAACCTTTTTTACTATTCTTTTCCTGTGTCACCTAGATGGTAAAATAATTAAACTAACTATTTTTATTCAGGCTTCGGTTACATCCATGCTTACAGCATGGCCATTTCGTATTAGCTACTAGGCTGCTGTTCAACTGCTGCTTTTTGAAGAAACACTCTGTTCACTCTGAAGACAATGTTCTGCTGTTACAGCACGTCACATTTACTGGCTCACAACACGACAGCATGCAATCCCTCCCATCTCACACTATAAAATGCAGCCATATGCAAAACACTCCCAAAGTTCCCAAAGCCTTTAAGTCCATCACCTGGTCGGTCTTCTACAAGGCTTAGCTTCCCCTCCCCTCACACGGACAGATTCCTGTACCACTCACTCACTGCCTGCTGGCTGCCGGACTGCACCAAGCAGCTCAGTTTGCAGTTGCACATGAGACATGGTGGGGTAAAAGGGGTAATGAGGTAGAGGAGGAGAAGACTCTGGCCCAGCCATCCAAGTTCTGCTCAACCTCCAGAGCATGCAAACTAAGCTCAAGCTGCAGCATTTGGTTTGGTTCCTGGTATCCCCATCATCCTGCTCAAGGCACGTGGTATGACCTGCAGGCAACCAGCCAAAAGGAGACACACACCTACAGGCAAATTTAACTGTGGATGATGAGGAAAGGACAAATTACAAGGGTGGGGGGTGGGGGGGAGGACAGGACAGAAAGGGCTTTTCATATGCTCAACTCCACACTGCATTGTTTGTCATTTTCTGGACCCCATTAACAGAACATGCTCCGTATCTCCAAAATGTGAGCTCCACTGTAACTATTCATTACCATTTAGGCTCTAACACGTTTCAGACTGAAGTTAAACAGTCTGATTATCTTTTGGTCAGCCCTGAAATGGTCAGGTAGTTGGACTAGATGATTGTCATAGGCCCCTTCCAACTGGAATTATTATATTCTATACTATCTATAGCATATAGTGGACTTCCAGTCTAATCTACAATAAATACACCTGCTTTTTATTAATATAAACATTAAATAATCTGAAAATAGCTGGAAAAATATCCTGCCAGCCACTTTTAATGCTGCAGGTTCAACAATGATTAAGTTTGACAATGAGGCAACATACTGTATTAGTGGTAGGATATTGATTGGGAAGATCTCTGACTGGCTTTTAAGCTTAGAGGAAATAAGGACAAGAATCAATGGCTAAAAATAGTTCCAGAATACCATACAGAAAAGGAAATCACTAATAGACTTTCCCACCCTGCCTGGGCAAATTACTGCTAAAACCTACATGCTGTTGTATAGGTAAAACTAAAATTCTGGATCTCATCATAGAAAATACCTGGTAACCATGTGTAAACAGCTTCTGGTATCTGTGTTTTCTAACTCAGTAAACTGCTTGGAGTGATGTTTTCCAGGACAAGGACACACTTTGGAGCCACTTTATCAAGAATTTTTTAAATTCCCTTACACTGTCAACAAAGAGTTATGAGATCTATTTCAACCCCATTAAAAAGACTTTCAACTCTTTTGTTAATTCCAATCAGTCACAGTTATGCATCAAAACTACTGTTTAAGGAAACACATTTCTTGGGCCCCAGGCCTTATTCAGCACAAAAAATGGTGCATAACTAGCACACTACTACAGACAATTTTGATTCCAGTACCCTAAGATGCAGCTCTGAGCTTTACATACTGCACACTGATGCCTGGGAAAAAAACTGTTCAGTGACCGTCACCACCTGCACATTTAAATCAGTTCAGCCCCAGTTTGCTTTACTGGATTTTTGTGGTATTATCATCCTCACTATATAAATGGGCCACAGAGGCGCACAGATTAAGATCACAAGCGTCCCTTTAAGGATCAGAAATGTGACTTTCCAGAGAACTTAGGACGCACCATAAGTGATATTCAAAGTGCACTTCTGAAGAATCTCAGCTGCACACACGGCAGAAGCTGTCTTGCAAAACCACTGGAGTAGCTTAAGATATTACTGACACTCTCCTGTTCGTTAGCACTCCTGCAGCCCAGCCAGCCAGCTAATCCTGCAAGTATTCTTAGCCCATCTCAGTGCAAAGCAAAGCAGGTCAATGAGCTGGCTTATGTGACTTGCTCAGAATCACAAAAGAAGCTCTGTGGCATGGGCTGGCTTAGGAAACAGTTTTCCAAATAGTATTCAAAGGCCTTAACTAGCAGATAACCTCTTTCTTGCTATCTCCACCCTCATTTCACTAGATAAATTCCAAATTTTTCAGCAAATGGAACAGAGAAATGTAAACAAAACTCATCTTCTATACTACAAGTGTGCATAATCCCCAAACCCCAGCTCATCAGAATGCAGACCAGCAGCAGCAGCAGTCACCAACATATGCAGTGCATTTTTGCCACATGTTACTGCGTGTCACTGTGTCCCAATTGATGGGAGGGTGATGAAATGCTAGTCCAAGCTTTAATCATTAGTAAAAGCCATTATCTGCAGCAGCTGATCTAAAGTCTATTCCAAATAGTCAGGCACCTGGGTTTGAGCCAATGCATTCGTGCTAACCATTGCCTTATCTCTCCCCAGTATGAGCATGGTTTTCCTATGCACTTAAAAAGAGGAATGAAAATTACTTAGGAGACAATCAGATTTACATTCTTCCTGGTTGGCTAACAATTTCACCCACTCCCAAGAAAGATGCACATCACTTTTTAAAGCTAAACTTTTGCTGCAGTCCCTGCCAGAGACAGACACTGTTGGCAAGATTTCATAGAGATCCTAGATCACAACTTTTAAGGCTTATTTAAAATTGTAATTGTTACAGTAATTGTAATTCTGGTATGGCAAGTACTAAGAAGAAGGTGGAAGTTACCTAGTCAGTGGATTCCCACTGAAATCTGCTACCTGTAGTGCTCTGCAGAATGAGATGCTTTCTGGTATTTCAGGAATATCTGCAGAAGAAAAAAAAAGGAAAAAAGTTGTCAACAACTGTACTACATCTACACTGAAATTATTGCCTCATTAAATTCAGTGACTTGCTACTGCAAGAAGTTATCTTGGTATCGTTCAAGACATTTCAACATGCATGACTGTTTCAAGTCCCAAGTACACGGCTATCGTGGTATATTTTTCACATCCCCTTTCCCCCTCTCCTGCTCCATGCTTGTCCTCCTGATCCTAGACTACTCACCTGTTCTTGGGCTCATCTTTATCAGCCTCTGCCCATCAAAAAAACAGACTCTCTGTGTGCTAGGACTGTCCTAAAGAATCAAGTAAATTCTGAATCTCTTGTAATTCGATCAATACACACCCACAATTTGTGCTGGGAGAAAGTACATGGAGAGGGAAAACAAGAGAAGGAAGAAGAGGATGTGCAAGTCTCTCCACCTGCAACACACAATCATGGGAGCAGAACCAGCCTCCCTCACACTAAAGCCAGGTAGTCTGAAAATATTATTCAAATTGACGGGTCCGCGATAAGTGCTAGTACATCATGTCAGATTGCCAGAAAGTAATCAGAGAATCATAGAATGGTTTGGGTTG